TCTGCCCTCTAGGTACCCTAGCAGCTCCTGAGACCATGTGCTGTGAGGACAAAATCACATACAGTTGGGAAGGATTACAGAACTGAGTGGCTGGGATCTCAGGCAAGGGACCGTTGTCCCTCTCCATCCCTTTCTATGAGTGGATGTCAACAGGCTGGATCTTGAGGGTCTTTTGTGGGTGATTATGACAGTTATGGCTATTACACTCAGAGGACAGCATTCCACAACAAATACAATGTGGTTTCTATGTTTTAAACAGCATATCATACATATGGGCATCTGCCTTTTGGTTGTTGCTTTCACGTGTTGAGTTGTTTTACATATGCATCCAGCTATACTAAAGTTTGTCCTTTATACTGTCAATGGACTTCTGGTTCCCATGTTTTGCTATTACAATTCCTTGTACATTTTTTTATGTGTGTGTTTATCTATGCAGTAGTTTCCCTACATTCTCATGCATAAAAATCACTTGGTGGGCCTTGTTAAAAGGCAGGCAAGCAGCACTGGGAGGCTGAAGCAGGAGGATTGTTCCAAATTCAAGGCCAGCCTGGGCAACACAGACCTTGTCTCAAGAAAATAAAAATGCACACACACACACAAATGCAGACTGACTTGGTTTAAGTGAGATCTGACATTCTGCATTTGTATTAAGTTCCTAGTAGTGTCCATTGTGGAGCCTCGAAGAGCAAGCATCTTGCACAGGAGTGGAACTCCTAGGCCGCAGGGCATGTGCAATGCTACTAGAAGCTTCCAGATTGCTTCTGAAGTGCTTGCACTGATAATCCATACACTCTCATCAGCAACATAATGTGGTCATCAATACGTATAGTCAGATTTTTTTCTTTACCAGGTTCATGGGGGTATTAGTCACTTTTCTGTTGCTATGTCAGAAACACTGACCAAAGCAACTTATAGAAGGAAGAGTTTATTTGAGCTTAACAGTTCCAGGGGAATTATAGTCCATCATGGTGGGGAGGCATGGTGACTGGAGGTGGCTGGAGCAGGAGCAGAACAGCAAGGCTTAAGAACTCACAAAGCCTGCCCCCTGTGACATGTTTCCTCCAGCATGGCCACACGTTCTAAGACCGCCCAAAACAGTGCCACCAACTGGGGACAAAAATGTCCAAATACTTGGAACCTATGGGGCACATATTTTTGTTTTGCTTGCATGTATGAAGTGCACCCAGGTGTGCAATGCCCATGGAGGTCAGAAGAGAGTGTCAGATTCCTCTGGAACTGGAGTTACAGTTGTTAGTCACCATGTGGATACTGGAAACTGAACCCAGATCCTCTGTAAGAGCAGCCAGTGCTCTTAGCCTCTGAGCCATCTCTCCAGCCCAATTTTTTGACATTTTTAAATTACCATTGGGGCTGGAGAGATGGCTCAGTGGTTAAGAGCACTGACTGCTCTTTCAGAGGACCCCAGTTTGATTCCCAGCACCCACATGGTGGCTAACAACTGTCCTTAACTCCAGTTTCAGGGGATCAAATGCCCTCTTCTGACCTCCACAGGCATTGCATGACACAGGTGCACTTACACACATGCAATATACTCATACAGATTAAGAAAAAGTTACATGTGTGTGTCTGTGTGTAAACATGAGTGTGCAAGTGAGTGTGGGTGCCTGAAGAGGCCAGAAGAGGGTGTCAGATTCTTCTAGAGCTAGAGTTATAGGCAGTTGTTGACATGGTGCTAGAAACTGAACTTCGGTCCTCTGGAAGATCAGTAGATGCTCTTAACCACTGATCTCTCCAGTCCCTTTTTTCAATTTTGTGTGTGTGTGTGTGTGTGTGTGTGTGTGTGTCTTTTTGAGACAGAGTCTCTCTGTAGCTCCAGCTGGCCTGGAACTTACTATGTAGACCAGGCTGGCCTTGAACTCACAGAGATCCACCTGCCTCTGCCTCCCAAGTGCTGGGATTAAAGGCATATGCCACCATGCCTGGCACAATTACACCTTTCTAAAGTGGTGAAAATAAAAGTGGAGAGGCAAAATATGAAGAGCATGCTGGGATTGAGAACAGATGGCTGCCATCAATCCAACTAGAAGAATGTCTGAGACTTGTTTCGGGACTTGGCTGAGGGCAAAGGAAAAAGAAGGGGAAGTTCTAGGATCAGAAGGGAGGAATGAAGAAGGGCTGGGTGTTTTCATTTACCTTGCATTTAGGATAACAACATTTTTTTTTTTTTTGGGTCTTTTTGAGACAGGGTCTCTCTGTAGCCCCAGCTGTCCTGGAACTCACTATGTAGACCAGGCTGGCCTTGAACTCACAGAGATCCACCTGCCTCTGCCTCATGAGTGCTGGGATTAAAGGCGTGCGCCACCATGCCCAGCTAGGATAACAAATTAAAAAAAAATTTTATTTATTATTTTTACTTTATGCCTGCATGTAGGTAAGTGCACCCGTGTCGTGCAATGCCCGCAGAGGACAGAAGAGGCTGTCAGAATTCCCTGAAACTGGAGTTACGGACAGTTGTTAGCTGCCATGTAGGTGCTGGGATTCAATCCTGGGTCTTCTGCAAGAACAACCAGTGTTCTTAACCACTGAGCTATCTCTCCAGCCCCAAGGATAACAAATTTCGATTGAGTAAAATGTCCTGCTGAAATTGTCTGTCATCTGAAGATATTATGCTCTATTCCACAAAAGCGACTCATAAGAAAACTGCAGGAAAAACATCCCAAAGCCAATGCATGTGTAAAATTTGTATGTTGAGGTGCTGGAGAGCAGTTAAGAGCACTGATTACTCTTGCAGAGGACCATGGTTCGAATCCCAGCACCCACATGGCAGCTAACAACTTCCTGTAACTCCAGTTCCAGGAGCTCTGACACCCTTTTCTGACCTCTGAGGGCACTGTACAATACAGCTGCAATTATACACATGCAGGCAATACACTCATACACATAAAATAAAAATTAAAGGAAAAGAAATTGTATGATGAAATCCTAACTGGCCAGTATGATTAGCAGGTGATTAGATCTTGATCACTCTGCTGTCATGAATTGGATTAATGAAAAAGACCCTAGAGTCATGACTGGTGGTACACGTCTGTAATCCCAGCATGTGGGAGGCTGAGGCAGAAGACATATCTGGAATATACAGTGAGATTTGGTTTTCTCATAATTCAGAAACTAATACAGCATGGTGGTAAAAAGTATGGGCTTCCAGACCAGGTGTCTGAATTCCAATCCAGCCACTTATTAGTTGATTGACCTTAAATGGGGTGTTTAACATTTCCCCATCCTGATCTTTTCATTTAGAAAATGCAGATCATGGTAACAGCACCCAGATGATAGGTTGATGATGAAATTAGCTAATCTATGTGATAGGACACTGTGTGACACTGCAAAACTCATTAAAACTTGGGTTAGTATTAACTTCTAGCTCCATCCCCATAAATATACATATTTAACCTCCAAATTGTATCACACTATATACGCTATTTTGTAGCAAGCTTTTTACATGGATTATAGTGTCTTTTTCCAATTGTTCTTATAGGTCACTTGAAAAGGCCATATTCCAATACATGAATTACCACAGTTAACCACTGATGCAGCAAGTCAAACTGTCACTTGTGTCATTAACTCATTTTCCTTTTTTTGTTGTTTGTGAGACAAGGTCTCACTACGTAGACCACGGAACTCACCATGTAAACCAGGCTGGCCTCGAACTCACAAAGATCTGTCTGCATCTGCTTCTGAGTGCTAAGATTAAAGGTGTGCACCACCATGTCTGGCTTTTTTTTTTTGAGACAAGGTTTTACTCTGAGGCCAGGCTGCCTTGGAACTATGTAGCCAAGGCTGGCCTCAAACTCAAGGCAATCTTCCTGGATTACTTTATACCTTTAAATTTGGGTTCACACCTTTAGTCCACAGGCCTCGAAGCTGTGGTGGCGCACACCTTTAGTCCCAGCCCTCGAAGCAGAGGCAGGTGGATCTCTTTGAATTTGAGACCAGCCTGGTCTACATAGGAAGTTCCAGGACAGCTCAGGCTACACTTTTTTTTTTCCCTTCTCCTTTGTGCTAGGCAGGAACCATTGAGCTACACTCCAGCCCTTAAACAACTCACTTTAATATCAGCTCTCCCTCTTCTAATCACTTCTGGCTCTCCTTCTGATATAGACACGAAAGTTGTATCAGCTTATTTGCAGTAACACCTTACTTGCAGTTCTTTCCCTTGCTCTGGGTGAGGGGTGGCTGTGGCAGAGGCTGGGAAGAGAGCTGGTACTTGCTTTGGGGGACATGTACTTCAGGTGCTCAGCTCTCCTTGAACTGGGTCTTGTTGACTGGATAATTCCAAATATGGCACATCCCTTGATGTGGCTGATGGAGTTCTTATTCTTCTAGGCAGCTGACAGTACACATGTATACAGCTCACTTCTACTGTGTGGGCCTCCCTGCTTTTAGTTTTTCACATTTTAAGTAACTCACAGAACTTAGACAACTTTGCACTATTTGACAAGTTGTGGGTCCCACTAAATTCAGTTTTTTTTTGTGCAGAAGCACAGAAGACTTCAGCAATTAAAACAAACTCACAAATCAAATATACTAAGTAGCCAAAATGCAGCTGGATAGGCTTGTTTCCCAATGTGCCAGGTGAACGTTTGGGATACTGAACATACTGTGAGGTACACATTTGTGTGTGCATGTACAGCAGCCAGAGGTTGGAGCTGGGTTTCTTCTATCACTGTACACCTTAGTTCAGTCTCTTCTGAACCCGGGGATCACTGATTCAGTTAGAACGGTTGGTTGGCAAGCTCTTGGGGGGGGGGGGGTCTGTCTGTCTTTGCCCCTCTGGGACTGCAGTTACAGATATGTGTGCTGACACACCTGGCTTTTACATGGGTGCTGGGGATCTGAATGCAGGTTCTTCTCTTT